CAGTGGTGGTGGATCTGCGATTACACATTCACTTATTCATGTCATCACTTGGGGTGTGTGTGCATGTTCGTGTATTCTTTCTGCAACACCACCTCAGATCTGCGTTCCCATTTCTGTTAACCCCCTTTCCCCATCCATAGGTTCCCTTGCGCGCGCTCTGTCTCTCTCGCTCTCTCTGTAATGCTGCAGAATTAGCTATTGCAGAACTGCAAAAGGGCTGCAGCTCAGAGGTATTTAAGCAGGCTCTCTCCCATTATGAGCGGCCACATATTCTGAAGAACATAAGAAGAGTCCTGCTGGGTCAGGCCAGTGGTCCAACTAGTCCAGCATCCTGCTCTCACAGTGGCCAACCAGATGCCCATGGCAAAGTCTCAAGCAGGACATGAGCGCAAGAGCACTTTCCTCTCTGGTGGCTTCCTGCAGCCGCTATTCATAAGCATGACTGTCTCCCAAACACGGATGCAAAGCACAGCATCCTCATCATGGCTAGTAGCCTTATCCTCCGTGAATTTGTCCAATCCTCCTTGAAAGCCATTGGAGGAAGTCATCCTTCAGAAGAACCAATTGCTAGAAACCACAGTCAGGAAGAATCGCTCTTGTGGCTCGGGTCCTTCTTGTGTGCTTCCCACTGTGGTTGGCCACTGTGAGAACAGGATGCTGGACTAGATTGGCCACTGGCCTGAACCAGCAGATTTTAACCCAGATTCTGACATTTGCTGTGAACAAACACACATACGTGCCCCCCCCCCCCATAATAAGAAGGCAACAAAATCCCTCTTTCATCAGCCCAAAGGCCTATCTAGCTCAGCATTCTGTTCTCATCGCTAGGGCTGGGCGATATTAGCTTTTCAACATCATGATGTATCACTAGCCAAACATTGCAATACAGTGGTACCTCGGGTTACATATGCTTCAGGTTACATACGCTTCAGGTTACAGACTCCGCTAACCCAGAAATATTACCTCAGGTTAAGAACTTTGCTTCAGGATGAGAACAGAAATCGTGCTCTGGCTGGCGTGGCAGCAGCAGGAGGCCCCATTAGTGGTGCTTCAAGTTAAGAACAGTTTCAGGTTAAGTACGGACCTTCGCCACCCGGCCTCAGTTCCCTCCACCACCAGCGTCCAGCACAGGGAGGAAGGAGGCAGTAGCGAAGGCAAAAAAGCCTCACCCACAATATACCTCTGAGTGAGGGCGCCATTGCTCTCTAGCCCTCAAAACGATCATGGCGATGTATCAAGCCTACTTATCCCTGCTGCATGTTCTCTCTCTCTCTCTCTCTCTCTCTCTCTCTCACACACACACACACACACACACACACAGCCTACCTCACAGGGTTGTTGTGAAGATAAAACAGGGTGGGGTTTGCTCTTTATTTTGGAGAGAAATATCTAAATGTGATAAATAAGGACAGAATCATTTGGTCTGGGGCTTGAATTGAAGATTAGAGAGTAGCTCCTCTCTCTTTCTCCGATGTCACCTGCTTTCTTAGCAGCACGTTTAAAAAAAAGAAAGAAAAAAACTTGTCGGCAAAAAGTGTCATTTTTCGTTTCCTGCCACCCCTGGCAACTGGTCCCATTAACTAATCCGACTGATTGTTCATATTCCCGGTAGGTTGAAAAGAGACCCGAATCTACACTTCATTTGCAAGACCCTCTGCTGAGTGTGCCGCTAATGACCGTTCTAATTATGATATCTCACGGATGCCTTTTTTTTTGGTTATTTTATTCAGAGGCTGCCCGATCCTTGCTTGCCTTGTGACACCTCGCCAGTTTCGGGGAACGTGTGTTGCAGGATGAATAAAAAACGGGTCAAAAGTGGGAGGGAGGGAGAGAGGCAGAAACAGAAGGTTCTACTGGAGGGGGATTTTTAAAGGCAGCACTCATGCTAAGCGTGCCACTCTTTCTCTTCTCCCATCACCCCTGTGGTAGCTGTGGCGGTGGTAGGGGCTGTTTATTTCATTCACAGAGCGAGGGATAGAGGGAGAAAAGAGAAAGACTGCTTTATACCATAATGGTCTCTAAAATGGATGAATGAGTCTCTGCCACGATGTGTGCCTGAAAAGTGACTAACAAAAATAAATAAATTGTTTATTAAAGAGTTTCTAAATACAGTAGATATAGGCAGAGATAAAGATATCTCAAAAGAAAGAAAAAACCTACAGTACCAGACGAAGCAATAAAACCCCCCAAAAGCAAAAACGCAGCCACACACTTTGAAAACATCTTAAATATCAGGCGCTTGGCCACCAAGCTTTTGCAAACAGCCCAGTCGAAGACGCGCGATTGCTTATGTTCCCCTTCTGAGTAGAAGCAACGGGGCGTTAGGATGGCGGCTGCAAGGGGCAGGGCCTTCTTAATGGTGGCTCCGTATTTGTGAAACTCCCTCCTCAGAGGTACGCTCGACTCCCTCCTTGTTTTCTTTCAGCTGTGATTTGAAGATTTTCAAGAAGCGAATCTGCTTTTCATTCATTTGCGTTGCTGTATGTCAGGGGTGGGGAACCTCAGCCCTGAAGGCCAAACGGAGCTCTCCGTGTTTCCACGGAGGACTCTCCTCGGGCCACACCCCTTGTCAGAACCTTCTTCATACTCTCCCAGATTTTTTGCCTGGCTGGGACGCATTCTTAAACCCCAGTGGTGTGACTCTCTTGCTTGCTGTTATGGGAGTATAGAAGGCTGTGTATAGAAACTGGCCTGCTGTACGAAGGTCACATTTTCATCCACTGCTCTGGCCACTTTTGCCTCTGGCCACCCCAACCATGTGGCCCTGGAAGTCTTCCTAGGTGGCAATGCGGCCCTTGGGCTGGAAAAGCTTCACCAGCACTCCTGTAAGTTGTTTTCGTTAAGTGTGAGTTAGCGTTTTGTAATTGTGTGTGTGTGTGTGTGTGTGTCTGTGTGGCTGGCTTGTTTTGATTCTGTTTGCTTGTTTTAATGGTGAATTTTTGATGTTTGCCTCAAAATGTTTAAGTACTGATTTCCACACTGGGAAGATGTTTGCACTTTGAAGGTGGCTGAGAAATTCCTTAAACTAATCATGAAAGAGAGGGGAGCATTTTTTGGCAAAGAGTAGAACTGGAGAAGGTTTAGAATTATAGAACGGTAGAGTTGGAAGGGACCCTGAGGATCATCTAGTCCATTGGTTAGCAAACTAAGGCCTGGGGGCCAGATCCTGCCCAATCGCCTTCTAAATCTGGCCCGTGGACTGTCTGGGAATCAGCGTGTTTTTACATGAGTAGAATGTATCCTTTTATTTAAAATGCATCTCTGGGTTATTTGTGGGTCCTGCCTGGTGTTTTTACATGAGTAGAATGTGTGCTTTTATTTAAAATGTATCTCTGGGTTATTTGTGGGGCATAGGAATTCGTTCATTCCCCCGCCCCCAAAAATATAGTCTGGCCCCCCACAAGGTCTGAGGGACAGTGGACCGGCCCCCTGCTGAAAAAGTTTGCTGACCCCTGATATTAGTTCAACCCCCTGCAATGCAAGAATATGCCACTGTCTCTTTTGGGGATCGAACCTGCAACTTTGGCGTTATCAACGCCATGTTTTTACCAACTGACACAGAAGAGTTTCTTACAAGGCAGACAGCTAACTCCCATCTTCCCCAGCCCAACATGGCTCATCAGGAATGATGGGAGTTAGGGTCCGACAACAGATAAAGGGACAAGTGGGTATGAATCGCCTTCTCTGAGGGTGAAAGGTTTAAATAGTTTGCGCCATTTAAAGGAACTGAATTACATTTATTTAAAGCATTGTTAACTCTGAAGCTTCATTAGCAAGGCAGTCCTTCCCCTCAGGTTGGCAGAAGAGGGTTTGGAGGGAAGAGGAAAAAAGTAAGCATGGGCACTAATTCTTAGGTGCAAGGTTCTTGTATAACCAGCTGGAATAGAAACAGTTCAAAGAGAGGAGGAGCCCAGTGTTAGAAACTGAGATGTGAAAGCTAGGAGCTAAATGGCACATTAAACCTAGGTTATGGGCGCAACAACGGAATATCTAGGCACGCTTTTTTAATAACGAGAATACAAAGCTGAAAATGAATGAACTGCAGCTGAAATATTATGTTCATTTTTCACATGGTCTAGTCCTTCCGTTGCCCACGCCCCTGATATTCTTAAGAGGGTCTCTTCTCCAGTCTTCAGAGAGTAGCTGGAAGTGGGGAGGCAGAAAAAGGTCCTCCTTTCTTTCCACTTTGCAGTCTTAATCTGAAATCTTAGGCGCAGTAGTGCGCCCAGAGCTCAGAACCTGCACGCGCTGATGAAATTCCATGTCGCAAAATTCGCCTAGAACAATGGGAGTTTCAAACACTGGAGGAACCAAATGGTGCTGGTTTCTCTGTCTGGCATCTTGTTACTGCCAGCGCTGCAGCTTGGTGGAATGGGGTGGGTGGGAATTCTGAGAGCAGAAAAGCATTAAAGGATTTGCAAAATAACCACATACCTAGAATGCACAGATTTTATTTATTCAATACACTTTCATCCTGGATTCATTGGCAATATGCAATGTGCAAGCTGGGTGGATTTAGATAACTTAAATTCCCCAACTCTTCAGAGTTCTGCTATTTTCTGACACGACGAAACTTTATTCAAATTTTTAAAGGGATATCTTGCAAACCAGTGGGCTTGTTGTTTTTGTTGTTGTTGTTCCATGCCTTTTTCTGAGGCAGTTGTTTGAGAACTGCTTCACAAGGGCTTGCTCCTTCCAGTTTGAGGTTTGTTAAGCAGACTGTACTGATCCGCATTCCAGAACATCTCCTCAGTGATAAGGACTAGCATCTTGGTTTTTTTGTATTTTATTTTAAATTAAAAGTTGAGATTCTTGAAATGCTATACTCAGTGCATTTTAATAGCACTTCCTCTGGTTCATTCCTGCATCCTGTCTGGCAGAACTGGTAGCATCTGTAACATTTCAAGGGTAGAGGGGATAACATCAGAGTCATCTTACACTCAAACCCACGCCAGGAAAACCCAGCCACAACCACTGTGAAATCCAGCCACTCTCTGAGAAGGGCTGTAGCCCAGTGAAAGGGCATCAGCTTCGCATGCCAAAGGTCCTGGGTTCAATATTCAGCATCTCTATGTAGGACGGAAAGAGTCTCTCCCCTGGAAACCCTGGAGAACTGCTGCAAGTCAGTGTAGACAATACTGAACCACATAGGCCACGGGCCCAACTCAATATAAGTCAGCTTCCTATGTTAGTAGTTGCAGATGGATGAGAGTTGTGTGTTCATCATAAACCACTGTGCATCCATCTGAGAAGGCTTCTGCTGTGGATTTCAGTGGACTTAGATCAGGCATAGGCAAACTCTGCCCTCCAGATGTTTTGGGACTACAACTCCCATCATCCCTAGCTAACATGGGAATTGTAGTCTCAAAACATCTGGAGGGCCGAGTTGGCCTATGCCTGACTTAGGTGGACTATATAACCAGGCATGGCACAGAGAGAGCAGATAGAGAAAGGTTTTTCTCCCTCTCTCCCAACACAAGAACTCATGGGCATCCATTGAAGCCAAACGCTGGAAGATTGAAGACGGACTTCTTCACTCTGTGCCTCGTTAAACTGCGGAACTCCCTTCCACAGGAGGCAGTGACGGCTGTCAGCCTGGCTGACTTTAAAAGAGGACGGGAGAAATTCATGAAGGATGAGGCTGTCGACGGCTTCTGGCCGTGATGGGCTATGCTCTGCCTGCACAGTTAGGCAGCAGTCCTTCTGAATCCCAGTTTCTGCTTGAGGTCTCCGTCCAGGCATCTGGCTCTGGCCCCTGTGAGAGCAGGATGCTGGGCTAAGATGGGCCCCTGGCCTGATCCAGCAGCCTCTTCTTCGGTTCTTATGTCTGGCTGTGTCTAAAAGCTTCCGCTCTTTCCTCCTGCAGACGGGGAACAGGCTTGCTGTAGCGTGTCAGGAGGTATATTCCCATCCTTTCCTTTTTGCACATCATTCATTCATTATTTCCCCCCGCCCCCGAGGTTGCCAAGGAGACGTTATTGATGACCGTGATCATAGTAATATGGGGAAGTTGGGGGGGGGGGAGAGAAATGGTTCAGACCAATTCCCCTTGAATTTGCTGCCCAGATCTCTGCAATAATGAGAGAGGAGGGCTGCCTTTTTTTTAGGGGGTTCCCCCTCCCCTCCTTCCTTTCTCCTCCACCTACAGATATTTCCTGCGCCGACGCCGGAGAAAGAGTGTTTAAATTAGCTCTCAATGTCCACCTCTGGCTGCCTGCATCCTTGTAATGATTTCATTAGCTTGAATTATCCACGTTATTTTCTTGTAATGGGATTAGCTGAACTGGAGTCATCTGAAGAGCGAAGGGTGGGATGGCGGGGAGGGGAGGGGGCCTTTTTTTGGGGGGTAGGGATGGGGAGAGAGAGAGCATTTTCTGCCTTGCATGTTTCATTTAACCATCTTACGCCAAGGGGCTGGTACTGACCGTGGATGGGAACCTTGGCAGAGGAAAAAAGCTCGCCCTATTGGACAGAACACTCATTCCTTCCTTCTGAGAAGAAAGGGATGAGATAGGATGGAGAAAAGCAGCTATTATCCCTCTCTAATCGTCCAATTGGTGCAAAGCAGAGATGTTTAAAGATAGTTTGCAGAGGGGCGGATGGTGCTGTTTTGCAGTGGTTAAAAACGAGAGAGATTTTGTGGCAATGGGATGCATTTTGCAGAGATGAAGCCCATCTTCACCCCCACGCCAGGGACAGGGAGTGGGTGGGGCTGCAGGATTGCGATTCGCGGCTCATACAGGCCCACAAAGCCTCTGCCAGCCGTAGAACTGAAACTTGCTTTTTCCCTGGGCTTTGTTTGAAATAAAGGAGTGTTTTCTCTCTTTTTTTGTTTTGTTTTTTTAAAGCCAGTACAGTGGTACTTCGGGTTAAGAACTTACAGTGGTACCTCGGGTTAAGTACTTAATTCATTCCGGAGGTCCGTTCTTAACCTGAAACTGTTCTTAACCTGAAGCACCACTTTAGCTAATGGGGCCTCCCACTGCCGCCGTGCCGCCAGAGCACGATTTCTGTTCTCATCCTGAAGCAAAGTTCTTAACCCGAGGTACTATTTCTGGGTTAGCGGAGTATGTAACCTGAAGCATCTGTAACCTGAAGCTTATGTAACCTGAGGTACCACTGTATTTAATTCTCAGCATCGCCACAATATCTTAATTTTTCTCCCTTCTTGAAAACTAACATTAACACTGAATTCTGCTCTAATCCCTCCGATCCCGTAGGCCTCTCAAACCGAGACTTAGCGCGGTCTCAGGGTCTCGCTGCCCGGGCTACTTCTAAACAAATTTCATGTAGACATCAGCTCCATGTGAGTCACCTATGGGATGTGCAGGGGGCTTATATTAACTTGAGCTTACAATGCATGTACCAAGAATATTGGTACCTGTAATATAAATGGGTGGTGAGTTTGGGGGCGGGGGTTGGTCACTATTAGTATTATTCATTTATTATTAATAATAATTTTTATTTCCATGTCTTATTTTGTTAAATCTGCAAACAAATGAACAAATGGTAGAGTTGGAAGGGACCCCAAGGGTCATCTAGTCCAACCCTCTGCAATGCAGGAATCTTTGGCCCAATATGGGGCTCAAACCCACGACCCTTAGACGAAGAGTCTCATGCCCTGCCGGCAGAGCTGTCCCTGCAGGAATGAATGAATGAGTGAGTGAATAAGTACCGTATTTTTTGTTCTATAAGACTTTTTCCCTCCTAAAAAGTAAGGGGAAATGTGTGTGCGTCTTATGGAGTGAATGCAGGCTGCGCAGCTATCACAGAAGCCAGAACAGCAAGAGGGATTGCTGCTTTCACTGCGCATCAATCCCTCTTATTGTTCTGGCTTCTGAAATTCAGAATATATTTTTTTCTTGTTTTCCTCCTCCAAAAACGAGGTTCGTCTTATGGTCTGGTGCTTATAGAGCGAAAAATACTGTAAGTAAATAGAATACGGCTGCTGGTGCCAGGCCAGTTGGACTGCAATAAAGCTGTGTGGTTGGTTATATCCATTGAGGAAGAGGCCATAACAGCTACTAGTCCTGATGCCCTTTCTCTTCCTTCACAGCTGGGGGCTGTGAATGCCTCTGAATTACCAGTTCCTGCAAACTGCAGGGTGGGTGATAATGTTCTGGAACTCAGGTCCCATTTGTGTGTTTCCCATTGGGGCATCTAGTTGGCCACTGTAAGAACAAGCCAACTGGCTTGGCACCAGCAGCCGTTTTCTATTTTTTAAAGTGGTTTTAAGATTTTTAAGTGGTTTGTAAATGCTTTTGTTTGTTTGTTTGTTGCATTTATATCCCACCTTTTCCACCAAAGAGCTTGATGTGGTGTACATGCTTATCCCCCCCACCCCCACTTCGTCCTCACAACAACCCTGTGAGGTAGGTTATGCTGAGAGGAAATAACTGGCTCAATTAACTACCCGGTTACTAACTGGCCCAATTAACTACCTGGCCCAATTAACTAATAACTACCCGGTGAGCTTCATGGCTGAGTTGGTAGTCAAACCCTGGTTCCCCAGGTGGTAGTCCAGCACTCTGACCACTTTGCCACACTGGATTTTAAAGTGGCAACTTGCAGCTGCCCTGCCACTGCCTTCAGGGAAGGCCATGGCTGGTTTGGGAGGGTGTGACTGAGGAGGGAGCCTATTTAAGACCCTTCCCAAGGCAGCTCCCACCATTAAGGTTAAGGGGTGATATGATAGCCATGTTCAAATATATAAAAGGATGTCACATAGAGGAGGGAGAAAGGTTGTTTTCTGCTGCTCCAGAGAAGCAGACACGGAGCAATGGATCCAAACTACAAGAAAGAAGATTCCACCTAAACATCAGGAAGTTCTTCCTGACAGTAAGAGCTGTTCGACAGTGGAATTTGCTGCCAAGGAGTGTGGTGGAGTCTCCTTCTTTGGAGGTCTTTAAGCAGAGGCTTGACAACCATATGTCAGGAGTGCTCTGATGGTGTTTCCTGCTTGGCAGGGGGTTGGACTCGATGGCCCTTGTGGTCTCTTCCAACTCTATGATTCTATGATCCTTTGCTGAGCTTGAAGACACACACACACACACACACACACACACACACACACTGAATGGGCTGCTTCTTCCCATTGTGGAAAAAACCAGCTTGTTCTTCTGTGCCACATCAGAAGCGAATGCTTTGCAGATAATCAGGTTAATAATAAAGATTTATGGAGGGGAGCGCTCGGTGTCGTCGGAATGTGTTTGTTCTTTTCATTTCTGCTTTTTTCTGTTGTTGTTTTTTTTACTTGCGAAGTCCCATGCACGCTGTTGCGAACGCAAAATGTGCCACGGAGACTGGGGGGGGGGGGGAGGTGGGCAGGTTGGGGAAGTGGAATTGCTGAGCAAATCTGTTCCAATGGCTCGTTTGCCATCTGTGACTCCTGGATTGCCTTTTAAATCCTCCAGAGCTGGCTGGAAACTTTCTTTCCCCCTCCCTGGCTCCATCCTGTTGTTCTTGCTTTGGATTGTATTTTTGGAAGATGGCAGATGCAGGAGAAGGGAGATTGGAGAACAAGGCGCAGCCACGGCAGCCGTGGGTTGTTGGGCCATCCAATAAAACTGTGGGGTGTGTGTGTGTGTGTGTGTGTGTGTGAGAGAGAGAGAGAGAGAGAGAGAGAGGGAGAAGATTAAGGACAGCAAAAATAAAAGATTTCTTCATGCCAGGACATAATTTAAACTCTGCCACTCTCACAGGAGGCAGTGATGGCCACCGACTTGGGTGGTTTTAAGAGAAGGTTGGACATATATATCCATGTATTTGGGGTTTATGGACTGCAATAAAGCTGTGTGGTTGGATATACAGTGGTACCTTGGGTCAAGTACTTAATTCGTTCCGGAGGTCCGTTCTTAACCTGAAACTGTTCTTAACCTGAAGCACCACTTTAGCTAATGGGGCCTCCTGCTGCCGCTGCGCCGCCAGAGCACAATTTCTGTTCTCATCCTGAAGCAAAGTTCTTAACCTGAAGCACTATTTCTGGGTTAGTGGAGGCTGTAACCTGAAGCGTATGTAACCTGAAGTGTATGTAACCTGGGGTACCACTGTATCCCTAGAGGAAGAGGCCATA